GGAGGGACGCGACCACAGTGCTCTATTCAAAACGAATACCCAACCCAGAAGGGTTGGGAAAAACAACACGCACGATACCGAAAGCAACGCATGGGGAAAGGACGTCCGAGCGGCGGCAAGTGACAGGAGCTCGAGTATCTGGCCGGCGGCCCTCGCCGAAGACACGCACGCCTGGCCGGGGCCACGATACCTGGCTGGATTTCGACCGTGGCCTTCTCGTCTTCTTCTTCTTCTTCTTCTTCTTCTTCTTCTTCTTTTTGCGTCTGCTTCTTGTTATTATGTTTATTATGCTTCTGCTTCTGCTTCTGCTTATTCTGTTTATTTTTATCTAAGTATGCTGTTTATGATGCTTATTCTTTTTCTACTTCACAACTTCTTCTTCTTCTTCTTCTGTTTCTTATCATGTTTATTATTCTTCTTCTCCGTGTCCCTTCATGGCCGTGACTTCCTAACCTCCCTCCTTGGCTCCTTCTTCTTTTTCTTCCTCCTCCTCCTCTTCATCTTCTGCTCCACTTTCTTCTTCTTCATCATCTTCTTCTTCTTCTTTCAATGTGTCCCCTCGTCTCCCCTCGTCCGCGATCCTGCCTCTGGCCGTGAATTCCGACCCCCCCCTCCTTGGGTTTGGGGCCCGACGCCACGGGACCCCTGGAAGTACCCCGAGCACCTCCACCAGAGCCCTGGGCCCCACACAATGGCGGCACTAGTTTGAGCCGTGAGGGCACCGGGGCCCACAGCGGGGCCCTCCGCTCGGGCAGGTGCTGCTGGGGGGTGACCTACAGGGGGGGCGAAGAGAACGGCCCCTTTTGGGTACCAATTGGCTCCCACAGGGGCTCTGAAGGGCCCCTTTTGAGCCCTTTGGTGACCTCAATGCGGGGCGAAGAGAACGGCCCTCATGTGGCCCTTGTCGGCCCCTTTTGGGTACCAGCTGGCTCCCAACGGGGCTCTGAAGGGTTCCTTTTGGGTCCTTTTTTTTCTTCACCCACCCGTTGAGGCCACCCCCTGTTAGCACCCGCCCGATCTTCAGGCGATCGCAAACATGGATCAAGGGGGCGTGGATTAGCGACGGATCCCGTTTCCATTGGAAATTGCGGGTTTCCGCCGCCGAGCGAGGCAGCACCGGCCGCATTTTGTTGAGGACACCTCCCCGGATCCATGGATTTGTTGACCGTGCGCCATTTCCATGGATCGCTAGTCCATGTTTGCGCGCCCCCGAGATCTGCGGCAACCAAGGCGACGTCATGATGCCGAGGGCGCGCCCGCCTCGAAGGCGGGCTCCCCCGCGCCAGAGTCCAAACGGTCTGCCGGCGGGAGCTCCAGCTCGAGCGCACCCCTGGCGCTGATCGGATTGGCAGGCTTGGGCCCCCGCCCCAGACACTAGGCCTCCTGGATGGGGTCGGAGTAGATGGGGTCGGGGGATCGGCCGCATCGCCGATGCATCGACTATGCGGCTCGATGGTCGATGCGGAGCCCGATTTTCTCCACGCCGATGTCGCCGATGCATCGCCGACGTCGACGATGCATCGCTGGTGCATCACCGATGCATCGCCGATGCATCGCCGATGTATCGGCGATGCGGCGCGATCTTCCGACCCCATCTGCTCCGACCCATCTAGGAGGCCTCTACAGACAGGCTCGCGTCGTTTTGTACACGAGCACGGCCGCGGCTACTCCTGGCCGCTGTCTCCGCTTCTGTCAGGAGGGGAAAAACCACACAGACACAATTAATTTTCGATTTCCCCAAAAATATGGGAAAACATGGGAAGTGGGGGGGAAGACAGAAACCCAGAGAATATAGGAACAGATGGAGAATAGTTTTATTTGCGTGTACTTATTTGGGTGTCCTGGGGCCCCTTCATTCTGGGGGCCCTCGTTGGGCCCTGGGACCGTCCAAATCTCGGCCGGGGAGGACGAGCTGGCCCCGGGCAGGGGGTCGGGACTTCCCGGGGCGCACCATGGCGACGTCTGGGGCCGAGCCTCTGGCGGGCGGCCCGCGAGGTTTTCTGGGGTCGGGGCGGCGAGGCCCCGGGATCTCAGGGGGCGGCTCGGGGGCAGCCCAGACCTTTGATGATGGGCCCATTGTCCACCACCACTACCATAGGTAGGAGGAGGAGGAGGAGGAGGAGGAGGAGGAGGAGGAGGAGGAGGAGGAGGAGGAGGAGGCGGCGGAGGAGGAGGCGGAGGAGGAGGAGGAGGAGGCGGAGGAGGAGGAGGACCTGCCCATCCTCCCTTCTCCCCCGTCCTACCTATAGTGGTGGTGGAACATGGGCCCATCACTTTGGCGCTTCGAGCATCGAGCGTGGAGGGCGGAGGCTCGGGGCTCGAGGCTTCTTTTGGGGGGCGGCCTGGCCGGAACGCGCCGCAGGAGAGGTCTCGGGGGTCGATGTTTGACCCCTTGGACCGAGGCCTCCGACGATCGGGTGTGTGTGCGCCCCCCTGGCGTGGCCAGGGAGGCTTGTGCGCTACGCCCTGGGACTGTCCCAGGATGAGCCTGGCCAGGGGC